AATAGAGAGCTGTAGTTTCATGTACAATCTTCTGTTGTACTCTCTATATGCAAATACCGATTCTATTTGGTTTTTAAGAATAGAAATGAAAGTATTAGTTCTGAATTTTCATCCCCATCCTTCAGGAAGGCAAGAAAAACAAAACCCATTATCAATATGCAAAAAAGTCATGCAAAACAAATTCTGGCATCAACAATGTTCAAATTTTTTTTCCATATGAAAATGAAAGATGAAACATTTAAAAAAGAAGAAAAGGATTGGTTGGTCTTTGCTTTATTCAGCCTGTTATCTTCTGCACCTTGCTATGACCCAGGCCTGATGCCAAGGAGTTTACAATTTAAAGGAGGGAAAGACAAGTCTATAAAAACTAAGCTACTAGTCAGAGTAAATTAAATACAAATATGAAGTCCAGGCAAAGTGCTAGGAAGGATCTGAGGGAAGGAAAGTCAATGAAGTCATCATGCAGGAGGTAGCACTAGTTGGGTATTGAAGAAAAGGTGGAATCTCAGTAAATAGGGGTCTAGGGAGAATACATTGCAAACATGAGGGAATGGTATGAACCTATGTTGATTAGAGAGAACAGGATGAAAATGAGGGGATGGAAGGTGGCTGGCTGCAAAGCAAAAAAGTGCTTTCCAGCCTTTTCCCACAGTGCCCTTTCCTATTGTTCCCTCTTTTCTTTTCTACCAGCATCATCCTACCTGAGGTCTTTAGTACTGTTCTCCTTGTCCCTAGCTTCTTTCCTCTCCAATCCACCTTTTACATGCTGCCAGATTCATGCTGCCTTAGAGTAGTGCGGACTCCATCCCTGGAGATCTTTGCGTTGGTGCTAGGTGATCCCTGGTCAGGAATGCTGCAAGCATTCTTGCTAAGGTAAAGCTTTGACCAAAATTAGTTACTTTTTGGAGTCCATTCCAACGCTGAGATTCCATTATCTTATTTGATGAGATAATGAGGCAGTGTGTTCTAGGCATAGGATTGATCTGCATAAATGCACAGAAAGAGGAGAGCACAGAATCAGTATGTTATTTTGGAAGTAATATGAAGGGTATATTGGAGAGGGAGAAGCAAGGAGACCACCCAGAAGGTTATTGCAATGGCACAGTCAAGAAGCAATGAAGGTCTGAACTAGGGGAGGTGGCAGTGGGGGTGGAACAAAGAAAGCAAATGGTAGAGATAATGTATAGGTAGTATTAACAGGACTTAGTTAACAGGTAAGATGAGGATGGTGGTGGAGAGGAGTCAAAAATTATTCTGAAGACATGAGAATAGGTGAAGCAGAAAGATAAAAGAAAAAGTTAGACAGGGAGGCTTGAAGCAATTCAACAAGCATTTATGAAAATGTGCCAGATAACTGCATTAACTTCCTGGAATACAAATACAAAAAAAAGAGACCATCCTTCCTCACAAAGAATTTATATTCTCTTGGGGGCCAAGGGGAATCACATGCACACAGATAAATACAAAATATATAGAAAGTAACTTTTTGTGGGAAGAGGAAAGTACTAAAAACTGTCCAGGATCAGGAAGGACCTTCTAAGGCCACACCTGAGCTGAACCTTGAAAGGAGTTAGGGATTCTAAGGGGTGGAAGGAAGTGAGGGAAGAGGCAAAGAGGACAGACTGTGCAAAGGTGCAGAGATGGGAGACTGAATGTCATGTATGAAGAAAAGGAGTAAAATAAATCTGGAGAGACTAGAGCCAGAGTCATTGTTTTTGTCTATTCCCTTCACTGATGTAGAACGCAATTCCTGTACATCTTTTGAGTTGCCATTCCTGAACGTTTCATCGATCTTCAGCCAACATTCCATTGATAAAGCTTTCCGATCTTTGCTGGATTGGTCCTCAGATTACAGATGCATAGCCTGTTTTGAAACTCATATGTGAAGCCTTTCCAGCTTGTTAGGACCTATCAGACCCTGTACGTAGTTTTTAAGAGCCCAGGGACATCTCTGCACCATGATGACGCATCAAAGTAGGCTTAGTGGAGTGAAATAAATGTTAAGAGAGAAATTGTATTTTAAAAGTGGTTTCAAGGGGCAGCTAGGTGGCGCAGTAGATAGAGCACTGGTCTTGAAGTCAGGAGGATCTGAGTTCAAATCCAGCCTCAAACCAAACACTTGACACTAGCTGTGTGGTCCTGGGCAAGTCACTTAACCCCAACTGCCTTAAAAAAAAGTGGTTTCAAATGGCAAGTAGGTAGAAATATGGGACCAAATTGAGAGGAGTGATTAGGCGTGGTTACATATTTAAGAGTCCTATTCCTAGAGATCATAGTAGAAGATGTGAATTGTTGCAGTAAAAATCTGTGATCAAGAGAAACAGAGGCACAAAGTTCTGAGTGTGATCATTTTATTAACAAAGCTAGTAATTGCCAATTTATTCAATTGTGTTTTCAGTTGTGTCCAACTGTTCGTGACCCCACATAGGGTTTTCTTGGCAAAGATACTGGAGTGGTTTGCCATTTCCTTCCCCAGCTCATTTTATGGATGAGGAACTGAAGCTAATAGGGTTAAATGACTTGCCCAGAGTCATGAAGCTACTAAATGTCTGAGGCCAGGTTTGAACTCAGGAAGTCTTCCTGACTTCAGGCCCAGCACTGCCTACCCACAGTACCACCTAAATGCCTCTATTAATTGCCAATAAATAAGGTCAATAGCTTAGTAGCCAGTAACCAAAGACACAACTGGTAGTCAGAGCAGCTTTTTATATGATTGGTTACATAAAATCCAGTGACACAAATAAACTAAAATTGTAACTGATCTATAACAAAGGTGAAGGGTAGGCTTTAAATTTTGCTTAATCGTGCTTATTGCAAAAAAGGGATCTTCAGAATCCATGGCAGTGGGGAAAACACATAAGTCAACATTCTCTGGAAAAGTCCCATGTCAGATAGCACCCATCATCACCAGAGAAACATTTTAGGACTAGGTTGACTTATTTTCCTTAGCTCCCTCTTCCCTTCTGGGTGAGGCAGGACTAGGCTGTAGCTCTGAGAACTAGGGGACTTAAATTCTTACAAACTTTACTACTAAGGCCTATACCATTCAATCTAAATCTGATCCATACATGCCGATTCCAGTGATTTAACTATAACTCTTAGTCATTAATCAATCAATAAATTTCACGGAATGAGATTGTCAAAAGAGTTAGAAAAGAGAGAGCTCAGGATAGAACCTTGGGGGCCATTCACATCTAAGGGGCTGGGCAGGAGGGCAATGAATAGATGAAAAACATGAGGTCAGATATTTTAAAGAACCTGGACAACAAAGGAGTCAGATGTTGTGAAGGTTATACAGTACCTGTCAACCCACTGGATGTGAGGGAGAGGAAAGAATTAAAGATGATTCCAAAGTTTAGATCCTAACTGATGGAGAAGATCATGTTGACACCAACAGAAATTGGGAGAAAGATGATTATTTGGATAGCCAAAGACTTAAAACGTCTTAGGGGTTGGGGTGAAACAAGTCTCATAGGAGTTGGTTCAGGTCCAAGGATATGAAGAAGGCTCCTAAATGGTACACATAAAAAACATGCCAGCTTTCAGAATATTTAGTTGTAAACATGTTATATAAAGAACGCATGGGAAATGAAAGATGGAAGGAATGAGCTTCCTCCAGATACACAGAACCAGTGGAGATCAGATCAATGACCAGAAGATGAATGTTACTGATCTGCAAACAAAATAGGACTGTTACCAGGACAATGCCGGAAATATCCTCCCACCCACACAGTTGGGTTTTATAGATAGAATTGAGGCAGGGCTATTCAGCTTGTTCAGCATTAAAATGAGAGAGCTAGACTTTACTTGATGACTTTTAAGGTTCTTTCCAGCTCTAAATGTATGGCCCTATAAAAAAAGAATAAAAATATAGTGCTTACTAGGTGCCAGGCACTGTGCTAAGTGAATGCTTTACAATTATTGCCTGGTGAGATAGCTGCTATTATTATCCACATTTTATAGAGAATAAAGTTAAGGTGAGCAGAGATTAAATTACTTGTCCAGGGTTACACAGCTAGTAAGTGTATAAGGCTAGATTTGAACTCCAGTCTTCCTAACTTCCAAGCTCAGCAATCTATCCACTATGCCACCTAGCTGCTCAAAAACCACTATATCCAGGTGAGATGATTGTCTGACATCTGGAGAGTGACAGGGAGAGGAGTGATACAGGAGATACAAAAAATAAGAATGTGGTTTATTGAATATGAGAGCCTATGCCCATCCTGGGTCAAAAGTGGACTGTGGCTATATGTTAAAACCAAGGGCATTCCCCAAGCTTAAACTAGAGGCTCTGTAGCTATTTAGATAATTCCAGGTTTCCTAATGTTTACTCCATGACCCAGATTACAATATCTAAAGGAAAGGGTCCAGGAGCTACAATCTCTTTTGGTACATGAGTCTGAGATGCTAGGACATCCAGGATGGTAGCAGGAAGGGGGTAATTTGGGACTAGTGTCCAGGACTAAGCTGGACACATAGGCTTGGGAGTCAACCGTACAGCGATAAAGCCACGGAAATTGAAGAAACCCCCAAAGGTATTAAGAGTTTAGGCAGAAAAATGAGCCCTGGGCAGCTTCGAGCAGCTCCGACTGGGGATGCAGCAGAAAACAACTCGAGGGAGTGTCATGGAAGCCAAGCGAAAGAGGCGACCACTCTCAGCAGAAAGCCAAGTGGGAAGAGGACTGAGACAAAGCCATGGTTTGTGACATATCCCATGTCTTGGGGGACCTTAGGGGGTGTGGCTGAGCAATGAGTTGATCAGGGGCTGCGGGAGGGGGCCGGGGCACGGGGCCAGGACTGGACTCCGAGGAAAGTAAGGGGCAGGGCATAAAGACAGGACGTAAGGACGAGGTAGAGGAGATGGGGCCCTCTGCCTCAGGAGCCGATGTGGGAAGCGGGACAGACACCCCAGCTTTCTTCAACACTCTCCGCCTCCGAGGCGGGCCACTCCCGCCCCGCCCTGCCCCGTCGGCGTCTCCATCAAGCCCCACTTCCGTCCGGCTCTTTCTCCCCTTCCGGCTCCGGCCTCGCGCCCGTCCAAGAACTTCCAGTTCCGCCCAAGACTGGGAACTTCCGAAGACAGGAGACCGTGGGAGAATTGAACCGGGCGCAAGCAGCTGAGAAGAAAGCCTGACGCCCCGTCGGCGCCTTCACTCATCCATCCTTCTCGCTCTTCCAGTGAGGATTCCAGCTGAATTGCCTTATTTACGGAAAAAGGAAGGCGGAAACTCCATGTCCAACCGCCCAATCAGAGTAAGTCCGGAGTAAGTGACAAGGAGGGGGCAGGGATGCGTCACTTCCGGGTCCAACTTCGGTGTGAGCCGGAAACGGGACGGAAGTGGCTTTCGCGCTTCCGCCTGGAGGCCGCGAAGCCCAGTTGCGGCCTTGGACTTACAGATGAGGGCCTGAGCTCCTGCACCGGGGGAGGGAACGTGGGAATGGAGGCGGGGAGAGAGAGAATGCTTCTGTTTTCTAGTTCTTCCTGGCCTCTGGAAAGACCGCTGGGTTTGCAGACAAACTCCCGCTTCAGCCACTTACTCGTGGCCTTGGGTGACACCCTTACCCCGCCTTGGCCTCAATTTCCCAATTTGTAAAACACGGGAATCAGACTAGGTGGCCTCCACTCCTCCTTTAAACTCAGAATTGTATGATTCCTGTGTATTCGAGTGACCTGGAGCAAGATTGCTGCACTCTCTGGGCCTGTGTTTGCCCAGCTTTGAAATAGAGAAGAGAAAATCTGGGAGGTGGAATTATAGCGTCTAGTGTGAGGAACAGCAAGTATTACCTTAGGACAGTTGTTTATTTTATTCCAGGTCTCAGTTTCCTCTTGTAAAATAAGACCTCTGACGTTCCTCTCACTTGTTCCCAGCCAAAGCTACCCAGCCCTTAGCACATAATCAATATCTGTTGAATGAAGCACTGAATGAAGTTTGCTGAAAAGTGATACAGAAACCAAGGTTTAGTCATCTATTGCCTATGAGACCTTGGGCAAGTCGCTTTTCCCTCTGTAGCCTCAGTTTTCTTCTTTGTAAAATGGAAATTTTGACAAAGATATCACCTATTTAAAGGCTGGGTGGAAGGAAAGCTCTTGGTAAAATGTGGAAGGGCTATGGAAATGTGAACTGTTGCTGTTATGAGTTGGGATTGAAAAATCATGCTGTGGATAAGATTGCAGATCCATTGAATACATGAGAAGGTGATTATTCATTAAACATTTATTGAGCATAGCAGGCATAACCAACGCCCAAGGAAAGCTTAGAGCAGGGGATCTTAAATGTTTTGTTTTGGTTTTTGTTATGGAACTATTTGGCAGTCTGGTGAAGTCTATGGCCACTTCTCAGTATTTTTAAATGCATAAAATAAAATATGCAGGACTACAAATCAAATCGAAAGTATCAAATACTTTTTTAAAAATTCACAGAGCTCAGGTTAAGTACCCCTGGTTTAAAAGCAGCACATCAGTGCAGTGGAGAGTTCTGGATTTGGATTCAGGAGACATGGGTTTATTTCTAGTTTTAACCCTTATTAGCTGTGTGACCATCAAAAGTCATTTCACCTTTCTGGGCCTCAATTTCTTCCTCTGTAAAATGGGGATAACATTTACACTTTTACCTCTCAAGGGTATTGGAACCTTGTGAATCTTATGAAAATGTGAGCATTTTAGAAATTGGCTATTATTTCTTAAGGATTCGGGCAGTTTTTCAAAGGGGTTTTTTTTTCTCCTCTCCAGCAAAAGATTTGAGTATCCCCTTTCCAGAGGCAGGAATAGTCCCAGAATGTAAAATATGATTAAGGTGTATTTTCCTCCAAATGTCAGTTATAGGTCAGCTGCTAGAGATGACTGTCAGGCTCCATGGCAAATAAGTAGTGCATGAGAAAACAGAGCCTTCCTTTTAAAAGCCACCAAGCAACAGGGGCGGCTAGGTGGCACAGTGGATAGGGCACGGTCCCTGGAGTCAGGAGGACCTGAGTTCAAATTCGGCCTCAGACACATAACACTAGCTTTGTGACCCTGGGCAAGTCACTTAACCCCAGTTGCCTAGCCAAAAAAAGAAAAAACCACTAAGCAAAAAGTGAAACAGAAAAAAGCTCTCATGAACAAAGAACCCCAAGTCTAGTGACTAGGAACCTAGGTTGCTTCCCCATTCTAGAATATTGCTGGAAAAAATACAACAAAGCTTTATTGTTTGGAGGAAGTAGTGTTGTGGTTGTGTTCTAGGATTTCTACATCAAAGTAAGAGATACTTTATACCATACGATTTCTTTGAAAATGAAATTTGATCCATAACATAAAATCTATGGCATATTACCTCAGTAGGGATGCTTTTCTATGTTAGTCTGTAGCTAATTTGTAAGTTACTTATTTTATGCCAATGTGCAATGAAATACCCGCCATCATTTCCTCTCTCCCCCACCTTTCATTCCAGCCCCTACTGCTGATGCAGTTTGGGATTTCTGGGAACCCCAAAGGGGTACAGGGTGATGTCCACCTGGAATGAATTCATGCACTCAGACCTTCTTCCAGTCAAATGACGAGGTTTATTATAACCGTAATAGTAGCGGGCAAGATTCTTAGGGGATCTGCAACTTAAGGGAGGTGAGACTGATGCTTATATAGAAAAAGGACAGTAAAAGGATCTGTATGGTAAGTAGTCTGAGGTGGGCCAGGTGCAATAGTGAAAGGAATATTATGTAGTCTGGGGTGGGCTAAGAGCTACAGTGAAAGGATTGTCAAGTAAGTCAATTAAGCCATCTTAAGTGGGCTGAGGTAGGCCAGATGCCTTGGGCTGAGATCCAATGATCTGGGCTACTGAAATGTATGGGAAAATTCAGGGACTGGGTTGCTTTCAAAGACATGGTCTTTTCCTTTTAGGGACCCAGGTCCCATCTCCTCTTCACTACCACTGGCCCTCTCTGGGAAAATAGCTAGTTGGGCTTTCCTCAGTGAGTTCAGCCTCTTCTTCAGTCCTTGAGCTTTTGTCTTGGCTCCTGGTTCCTTTTCATTGTTACCTAGGGCTTATTGTCACATTTGATAGGGAATCGCAAGGACCTGAGAAATCAATTCAGTCCCCTTATTTGCAGGGGAGAAAAGAGTTTACAACTTGCCTAAGGTCACATAACAAGTCATTGGCTGAGCCAGAACTAACAATAAATGTAGCTGATAGCTGATAGGGCTTTAAGGTTTGTGAAGAGCCTTCTCTACAGTATTTTATTTGAATTTCACTGCAAACTATAAGGTGGGTGCTATGAGGAAACTGAGACTCAAAAAGGTCGAGTCTTGTCCAGGGTCACCCAGCCAGGCAGCATAGCACAATGGAAAAAACGCTCAATTTGAAGTTATGGGAATCTGGGTTTGAATTTGCCACTCACTCACTACTTGTGTGACCTTAAGCAAGTCACTAATCTTTGTGCTTCAGTTTCCTCATCTCTAAAGTGAAGGGGGCTGGACTAGATAATCCCTAAATCTCTTCTAGCTCTGAATCTGTAAACCTATATGACTCTATAATTCTTTGAACCTAAGTGTTTGAATCAGAATTAAAAAAAACAGGTTTTTCTGACTCCAAGTCAAATACTCTATAACCTAAGCCTTTTGATTACCAGACTAGGGTCTTTCCGCTGAACCACACTTGGGAGTGAATGGATGTTATTGATTGCTCTTTCCCCAGCCCATGATTCTAGGCACTTTGGTAGTGGTGGTGGGATAGAGAGATTCTTTCTGTCTCTGTGGGTCTGAGGCTACGTCAGATTTCAAGAGTGTTGGAGTATCTGAGGACTGACCTTGTGTCAGAGTCCTCAGCCTGCCCTAAATAGAAATTGATCTCTTAAACCCAGTGGACTGTGATTCTTATATATCAGAATGAGGATGATAGGAGGCTGCCTTGGGTTTCCCTGATCATCATCTGAACTTCAGGCTTTGTCTTTGCCTAGACTCGACAATGATTTACAGCAGAGTGGAACTTGGGGTGTTCGGACAGCCAAGTGGTGTCTCTTGACAGAGAAGAGTGGTGGAGAGACAGAACTAAATGCTTATGAGGAGGCGTGGTTGGCACTGGGAGAGGGATGTAGACATCTGGGGATGGGGCACTGGGTTCAGGGGGTGTTGTTGAGGCGGTGTTCCCTTTGTGAATGATTAACTTTCGCTGAGCATGACCTTGCTGGAGAGTTTGAGTAAGAGGACCTCTGGACTCTGAGAACCATTTGGGAACCCAGAAGAACAGAAGGAGTAAGAAAATGGGCCAGGGCTGTGCCTCTGTTATACCCGGTGGTGGGGTGGTGGGGGCTTCTGCTGAAGAGAGGTTGGGCCCTTAGGGTGTGGGGGTTTCAAAGGGGGAACAAGAGTTTGGGAAGCAGCCTGAAACAGTAGGACACAGAATGATGAAACAGTGGATGGGAGTGGGAAGAGTTTTGATCAGAGGTTAGGAATGAGGGCCCGAAGTTCTAGAACTGAGGAAAGCCTTTCAGAGCTTTGTAAGTTGTCCATTACCATAGCAACCCCTGTGAAGCTAGAGCTCTTGGACACCATAGAATCATAGGGTTTTAGAGTAGGGAGGGACCTTGGAGACCATCTGGTTCCTGAAGTTGCAGAGAAGGAAGTGAAAACCAAGAGAGTTTAAGTGACTTTTATAAAATCACACACATAGTAAGTGATAGAGCCATGAACCTAGATCTTTTGCTTCTAAATCTCATGTTATTTCTGCTATTTTACATTGCCTTCCATGGTCTCTAGAGGTTAGATGGAGGTCAGTCCCCCAAAAGACACACACAATTCATTTGTTTCTGATGTTTTTTCTTACAGATGATCATGGGTGCCAGGCACCGCTAAGAGTGGGCTGAACATGGCTACCACACTGCGAATCCTACCTGGCTTTGCGCGCGCTTGCCCCACTGCAGTACTTTGGGGGAGTCCGGCTTCCTGGTCTGCTAGCAACGTGGCTCTGGTAGAGCATGCTTGGAAAATGTTTGAGGGTGCAGTGGGTGTAGTGATGCCAGGCCCCATGTTACACCAGGTCCTGGCATTAGACACAGAGACTGGACAGCTGAAGGTTCGGGACAGAAACTTCCAGCTGCACCACAATCTTTACCTGGTAGGCTTTGGCAAAGCTGTACTGGGCATGGCGGCAGTGACAGAGGAGCTACTGAGTGAACACCTGGTTCAGGGTGTGATCAGCGTGCCCAAGGGTATCCAAGAAGCTATGGAACATACTAACATGAAGTAAGGAGCGGGGATGGGGTGAGGCGGAGCAAAATGGGGGCAAGGGAGAGAGAGAGAAACTGTTACAGAGGACACTCTAGGTGCTATAATTAGGGTCCTTTCCCTTTCTCTACCTCACAGGCTTCTTCAGATCCTGATACATTCTTTCTGCCTACCTACGTAGGATGAATAAAATATTTTGGGACATGTGCTAGGCTTGGTCTTAAGACTCAGCAGGTTTATTTCCTTTCTTCCGTCAGCTGAGCTTGCCTAGTTCAGTCCTAGTTGAGAAAGAGAATATCTCTGTAATCAAGCAGGGAATGCCTCAAATGGCCCCATGTCAGGTAGGAAGTTTGGAAAGTTTGGGACTTAGTGAGCTAGAGGAGTCGTCCCCTCTCTCCCCATTCCAAATCTTCCCAATAGTCCAGAAATGAGGGTAGGAAAATGTCAGGGACACAAGCCTCCTCTGTCTTGTACCCACTACTCCCCCTTTGCAGGGAGATGCTACTGAAGCCAAAGAGCCGTATCCAAGTGTTTGAGGGAGCAAAGGACAACTTGCCTGATGGGAATGCCCAGCAGGCTGCACTGGCCATCCGGGACTTAGCAGAGAAGCTGACAGCTGATGACCTGCTGCTGGTCCTTATCTCAGGTGAGTTCCCTTCTTCCCAAGGTAGGGGAGGGGAGATATAGGTGGGAGCTTGAATGATACCCAACCCTTTGCCTCCCTTTTCTGCTGCCTCCTTTCTTTTCCTAGGACTCCTAATCTCCTCTTTTTTCCTTTGTGTTCTCCTTCCTCATATGGTGACTGACTTTCTTTTCCAAGGTTCCTTGCCCTGCCTGCCCCAGCCCCCTTCTATCCCTTCTTCTGTAGATCTTGAAGAACAGGAGAAATCTCCTATTTTGAGACATGGGAGTAGCTATTTTTCTTAGAGGCAGAAAGATGGATCAGATAACCTTATCAGAACCCCAGACTGAGGAGTCTGATTTGCTCCTGATAACATACTATCAAGCCTTCCTAACATCTCCACATGAGGGCACCTCTAGTCTGTATTCAGTATTTCTGCCCTGTACTAACCTGGCTCCCATTACCCAGTTGTGCCCTGCTTCCAAGGCCCAGGAATGGAGGCCAAGGTTCCCTTGACAATCCAAAAGGCAGTTCATTTCATTATTACTCTCTTAATAGTATTTTATTTTTTCTCCAGTTACATGTAAAGATAGTTTTCTCTACAGGAAAATTAAAGGAGAAGGGGATAAGAGAAGGGAGGGGGGAGATAGAAGGGAGGGCAGATTAGGAGAATGCCAGCAGCCAATGTGATGTACGACAGAGCAGTGAAAGAAAAAGGGGAAGGGGAATTGGAGAAAGAAAAGTCGGGCTAGGCGAGTCTGAGACTGATGCTTATAAGACTAGTTTATTTTCAGGGGTTACAAGATTATATAGAAAACAGCTTTGTACCATGAGAAATGATCTACAAGCGCTAATTAATAACAAACAATCTAAGCAGGTAAAGATCCTCATTATCTCATGAGAAAGTAGTTTTAATGCCAAATTTCATATATCTTGTTTTCCCTGCCCAGTTCTTAGTATTGTCTGCCTGAGCCAGCCATCTAGCTTCAAGGCTGAGCATGAGTGAGAACTTAGAATCAACAAACCATAACAAAGGGAGCGAGGGCAAGAGTCATGGGAGCGTTTATCCGAGGCAAGCCTCTATAGAGATTTTCCAGGGGAAGGGGTATTCAGAATGCATGCCATCTTGGGGTGGGGGAGGGATGAGATGGGGAGAAAATTTGGAACTCAAATTCTTATGGAAGTGAATGTTGAAAATTAAAAATAACTAAATTAATGAAATCTGAAAAAAAGATAGTTTTCAACATCACTTTTATAACATTTTGAGTTCCAGATTTTTCTCTTTCCGTCCCCTCTCCCAAAACAGCAAGCAATCTGATATAGGGTATATATGTACAATCATATTAATCATAATTTCATGGTTCTGCTTATTTCACTCAACATTAGTTCATGCAAGTCAGGTTTTTCTGAAATCTGTCTGCTCATCATTTCTTTTTTTTGAATTTATTTTTTTAGGCAATTGGGGTTAAGTGACTTGCCCAGGGTCACACAGCTAGTAAGTGTCAGGTGTTTGGTCTGAGCCTGGATTTGAACTCCGGTCCTCCTGACTTCAGGGCTCTATCCACTGTACCACCTAGCTGCCCCTGTCATCATTTCTTATAGCTCAGTAGTATCCCATGATATTCATATACCACAACTTGTTGCAGCCATTCCCCAGTTGATGGGCATCCCCTCAGTTTCCATTTCTTTGCTGCAGAGTTGTGGTATATGCTGTCTGAGTCCTTAACAGTTATGGAGGGCTGAAGCATTATTGCTTTTTCATGTGGTTTGATGAAACAATGGAGAGAAGAAGTCAGAGCAGTACCAGACCTGTTTCCGGGCAATTCTTGGTAAGGAAGGGCTATATTGTTGTCACAGCTACTTGGAGCAGAGTAGTATTGTCTCTAGAGTGATAGGTTTCCATGGTGTAGGGAGGCCTCCAAACCTAAACGCTATTGGTTCGTCCATTCCAAACAGTCAAGCAACTGCATTGTGATTAAATGGAGTGATATATGCAGATTGACTTATGAATTGTAAAGGGCTACATAGATGTCAGCTGTGATGATGATGGTGATGATGATGATGGTGTTAAGGTAGGTGTGAAAAAGGACTCCCTTCTTTGAATTTCCTGCTATATCTCCCCCCCCCCAGCCATCTCTACTTTTCTCCTCCCCTAACCTGACCTGACTCTCTTCCCATTGCAGGGGGAGGCTCAGCCCTGCTTCCTGCTCCAATCCCCCCAGTTACTCTAGAAGAGAAACAGTTGCTCACCAAGATGCTGGCAGCTAGTGGTGCCACAATTCAGGAGCTAAATACCATACGTAAAGCCTTGTCCCACCTCAAGGGTGGGGGCCTGGCCAGGGCTGCTTACCCTGCACAGGTGAGTGATTATCTACCATTTGCTCAGAAGGCCTGGGCAGGCCTGTTGGGTGCATTGCTTGAGGTTCATTGGTAACAGGAGATGGGGACTGCAATACAGGAGAAGGTGACATTGTTCCTCTTCTCAGGGACCTTGCAGCCAAACAGAGAAGACAGGACACAAACGTATTGTTTACAAATTAACCTATAAAATGCGTTGCTAAATTATGGCATACTGCAAAGTGTTTGTGTGTGCAAAGGGGATAGGAGTAAAAGAGATTGAGGTAATCATGGAAGGCTTATTGGAGTAAATGAGAAGAAAAGTCAGGGCAGGTGACTCTCCCTGGCCAGCTGAGGAAGTGAGAATTGTGTGTAGGGGGCCAGTAGATGGACTTGGCTGTCATTCAGAATTCATGCTGGGAAGTGAAAGGGTGAGACTGGGGTGGTTTGAGACATGAGTTAGAGTTAGTGACACACCACAAGAGAAGTTTGGATTTACTATAATGGGTCCAGGGGCAAGGAGCTTCGTCAGGTTCAGTGCCACTTATCAGAGTTCATCCCCAGTTGTTTCTTATGTTTCATGTGCTTGGTCTCCTCCCCTCCCATGCTTCCTGTGATTCCCTTTCTCCCAGGTGGTGAGCCTCATTTTGTCAGATGTTGTGGGGGACCCTGTGGATATTATTGCGAGTGGTCCCACAGTAGCGAGTGACCACACTGTTCAGGATTGCCTGCATATCCTCAGCCGGTATGACCTCCGTGGAGTCTTGCCCCGATCTATCAAGACAGTGCTGTCCCAGGCTGACTCAGATCCCCATGGTCGTTCTGGCTGTGGCCATGTCCTCAATGTGATTATTGGCTCCAATTCCCTGGCTCTGGCTGAGGCCCAGCATCGTGCTGAGGCCCTGGGTTACCAGGCTCTGATTCTAAGCAGAGTCATGCAAGGTGAGGTGGGGCGCGTGGCTCGATTCTATAGGCTTCTGGCTCAGGCAGTTTGTGTCCGCCTCTCCTCTAAGGTTATGAGGACCAACAAGGAGGAAGATGAGCTTCAGGACCTGATAGAAGAGCTACGACTCTCAGACCTGAAGTTGAAGGAAGTCCTGGAGGCTGTGGAGAGAGCCAAGGGCCCTATCTGCTTTCTGGCTGGAGGGGAGCCCACAGTAAGGCTGCAGGGCTCAGGCAAGGGCGGCCGAAATCAAGAGCTAGCACTTAGGGTGGCTGTAGAGTTGAGTGGGTCTACAATAAGTGACTGGGGGGCTCTCTTCCTGAGTGGTGGAACTGATGGGCAGGATGGTCCCACAGAGGCAGCAGGGGCCTGGGTCACCCCAGGGCTGGCCACTGAGGCAGCAGTAGAGGATCTGGATATAATGGCTTCTTTGGCCAACAATGATTCCAATACCTTTTTCCGACGCCTGAAGGGTGGTGTCCACCTCCTTTGTACTGGGTTGACTGGCACCAATGTCATGGATATTCACCTGCTACTCCTCCGGCCCTGCTGATAGGGACCAGGGTCAGTATAGGTCTCAACATTTCCTCCAGTCCTATGAGATATTTGGAAAAGACCTTATAACTGGGGCTGGAAGGTGGGCCAGGGCCCCACAGAAATTTGGTCCCAGGCCCTTAGTTCCTTATATGGAATTCACTGGGCCACTCAAGGCTTTGATAAAGTGGTGCCTACAGGAAAGTACTAGGAAACAGAGAGCACCCAGCAGATCCATTGCTGACTTGTTAGGTCTTTGTTATAGTCTGCTTTCCTTGTGGGTCACTCCTTTCTCTCAAGGCACTACCCACCACACATTCTAGTTGTTTTTCCCCAAAGCACAATCTGTTTGCTGCCCTGGGAGAAGTAACAGTTGTGGCAGTAGGACATTCCAACAAGTCACTACTCCTCTGCTAACTATCTTCTCTTAACCTTGCCCTGGGTTGTTCTTCCACGTAGCCTGCTGTTACAGGTTTGGTGATGAAAAAAAAATGTGACTCAATGTTTGGGAAAGGGTGTGAAAATAAAAAGGATGAATTCATTGACTGATTGTGATTTTTTTTTTCTTGATTCTGCTTTTGAGCAGAGCTTGGAGCCAGACCCCTTGGGCAGCCCTAACCACGGGGGCTGGAAGTTACTGACCTTCCTCTGCCATTCAGAACAAGGCCAGAGATATTTGGAGACCCAGTATGGGTTTCTTGGTTAGGACTATTATGAAGAGAGCCAGCTAGGCTACAGGATAATAGCAGGGAATCACATATAGCTTGACACAGCATTCTCTATAAAGTGCATTTAGTCCTCACTCCTCTCTTTCCTCCCTCCCCTCCTCAGGTAACACTTCTTTCTCAGCTTAGTGGTCCTGATGGGGTCCTTGGACCCCAGGCCAAAGACCGTATCTCTGGCAGTAACTTATGAGTGGGCCCCAGTGAAGCAAACTATCTCTCCCAGTTACAGTGTCCTCTGTAAAAGTTTCCCTTGTCTAAACAGGACTTTCTTGTACCAACTGAACTATCTCATAGTGACTCCCTCAGTTACCATATATGTTCCAGAAGTCAAGATAAATGTCCACTCCCCAATCCATCTTGTCTAATGAGACATTGATTGGTAACACAGGACAGTTGACTTTATGATGTTGCAGGCAGAAAAACACACCCACTAGTGGTCCCCATCTTGTTGCCCACCCCCCCACCCCAACCCCAGCTGCTCATAGTGAATTCTGGGCAAAATGCTTGTGTTGTCGATACAAAAATTGCATGCTCCTTTAAGAACTGACCATTCCCTAATTCCTCCCCAGACCACCTAATTATCATACTTGGCACATCATTCACTGAACTTTTCCTACAGAAGCTTTAGATTCACTTCCATTGGGTTTCAAGTTCCCTAAAGACCTTCAAGTGCTTTATAAGCATCACAATAAAGCTTCTCCACATGACTGAAGGACAGTTTTGAGTCCGAGAATTCTTTCTAGAAGATACTGTGAGACGGTAACACCCTGATAGTTTTGGGATTCCCCCAAACCTCATCATTTCTACCAGGTGGGTAGGGGGTGAAAGGAGGAGAGAAGAAAAGATCAGTTAATAGCAATTCAGCTTGTTTTAGCTGAGCCACCTAATGTGCCTTCTCCTGGAGAGGGTCGCCATTGCCCAGCCCATCCTGGTGCTACTACCTTTCTGCTTCCCATCCCCCATTGTGATACATGGCTCCAATCCCTTTATGAGTGAGCAGCAGGATCACATAAGAATAAAAAGCCGCAGAGCACAGAGGGACTGTCCAGCATAGCCAGGCTATGGCCATGGGCAAATGCTGATGTCCTCCCCTCCCTAATTTGGGGCTCCTCTTCATGGGCCAGATTCAGGGCTGTCCTGGTAAAGTGTGGCTAGAGGTGCAGTGGACAGACATTGTCAGAAGGGGTAGGACTGGAGAAGGCTTTCAGTGAGCTTTGGTATTAGTCTAGGTCAGGCTCCTGGGCCTTTGCTGTTGGGATACCCCCTACTTTCCTGAGAACCTCACTAAATGCAGTCTCTCCAACTTTGGGGGCCAGGATGACCACGATTTTAGGTTATTGGGGATCCCAAGCCAATAAGAAGTCAGGTGCCTGAGATTTCATTTCCTGTGTCCAGTAGACTGGGAAACTAGAGGATTTTGTGTAGGTGAATGGGGGTTTTAGGGACTGAGGGGGTCCGTTGTCAGCAGGACATGAAGAATAAAGTGGGGACTGAGTTGGAGAGATAGCAGAGAGGATTCAGCCTCAAGTAAAGTTGGGCTTAGGGAGCTGGGGGACAAGTCTAGGAACTGAGGGAAAAGGCAAATCCTACCTCCTTTGTGATGGGGGGGGTCACTTTGCCTTCTCATTTCCCCACCCCAGCTGCCAGGAAATAATCATGGGACGATCTTAAAGATTTAGTCCTTTTGTAGATCTGGGCCTGTAACACAGCTCACTTTTGGTGCGTGGCTCATTCTGCCCTGACTTTGGCGTGCGCGCGCGCGCGCGCACACACACACACACACTCACACTTGTGTCCTGGGGAAGCAGGGTAGCTGGGGAATTCTAAGAGTGGGCTCCATTTGACACCATTGTTCTCCATGGCACAAACTGGGGCATTTAAGCATATGTGTGTGTGTGTGTACTTAACACAGACACAAATGTTTAGGTTACAAAAGTACATGAGCATATATGTGTATTGTGCATGTATGTATATGTGTATATGTATGTACATATCCACATACAATATTTTGCATGCATGTGCATATTCATCCATATGTAAACTCATTTCAGTCTATGGCCCCAGTTTGATAGTCATCCCCAAATTCTTGGAGGCTGAATGCCCTTAGTCTATGACTGTATGAGAAACGGGATTCAGTCACTCCTTCATGGGGTTAGGGGTTTAGCCCAAGCATGCAGCCACAACTCATTGCTCCCCTAGAAACATACCATGTAGAGTTCCATCCTCACTTAAGAAACAAAACTTAAACTGAAGTGAGCAAAGATGTTTATTTACAGTTCATGCAAGTGGATGTGTGTGTGGTACCCCCCCCCAAAAAGACATACACACTGACAAACGCCAGAGCAAGCTTTTTATGCAGTTCCTTCTTGTCCCTCCCTTCAGAGCTGGGATTGGTCCCTGCTCTTCCACGTTACAATCTTCCTGATACTCTCACTTTATAACATATCCCTCCTTCTGCTAACATATGAAATGTGCCTAGTTCTGTGCTATTGCTCCCCTCTGGGCAGAAAAGTTAGTATTAATGAGTCCATTACGCATGCGCCCTTTAAGTAAAGCTTAACCTTTGTCCTACTTCCAGCCTCTTTAACCAAACAATCAATTTCATCCACTTTTAGCGGGTTCTAGAACCTTTGACCTAGAGCTACCCTTTCTCTCAATTTCCTTATGTGGAAATATAATTGTTTCTTACCTCCCACAACTCCTTTTCCCTGACCATCCCACACTTCCATGCAACACCCCCCTACCCAACACCCCACTTCCCCATGGCAGGAGCTATGTTCTGCTCAGGTCCCACTGGCTTGAGTTATTTACAGAATCTTATTAGATTCATCTATGTACCACCTTGGGAAAGGAGAATAAATGGTCTATGCTGCTTTCTAGACTGACAAAATTAGATAAATATTGTTGGGTGAGCACTCAATAGGACTCATTATTCATTCTATAAATACCAATTATAGTTCATTTAAATATTTATCATCCCTAGGGTTCTTAGTTTCTATCCCTTCCCCTAAGTCTCTGCATGCTTCTAACCACTAACCATTCCCTTGGTCCTAATTCTCATCTACCTAGTCAGGTTGCAGATATTTTTAGCTCCAGCATCAGCCCTGGCTAAAGGAAACTGCCTTTGATATTTTTGCTGTCCTGGGGGAGTGAGGGAGGAGGAGTGGGTAGGTGGGAGGGTTAGAAGAAGGGTCTTGCATCTGCAAAGGTCTCATGATAGAAAATGCTATCCACATCCAAAGAAAGAACTATGGAGTTTGAATGCAGACTGAAGCATACTATTTGCTGTTTTTTTCTTCTGTTTTGTTTAGTTTCCTCTTTCTGATGGTTCCTCCTATTGGTTCTAATTCTTCCTTACAACATCACTAATGTGAAAATGTTTAATAGGAATGTATATGTATAGCCTGTATCAGATTTCAAGCCATCTTGGGGAGGGGGGGGAGGGAGAAAAATTTAAAGCTCAAAAGCTTATGAAAGTGATTGTTGATAAAATAAATTAATAAGAAAAAGGAAAAAAAGAAAGTACATAGTTCAAAAATATTTCCATTTTGACTATGCTTCTCAAGTCCTCCAAAACTTTAATTTTTCTCTTAAATTAACAAGCACCGTCTCCTTCTCCCATTGACCAAAATGAAAAATAAAAACAATACCCTTTGTAATGAAAAAAAAAAAAGAACAAAGGTCTTGGTAGCCCCTGTGGGTGGCAAAGATTCATAAGGTTTAGAACAGGAAAGGACCTATCTAGTTAGAATGACCAAGTGCTCCATTGCCCAGTAATTAAGTTCTGGGGAGAATAGTTAGACCCAATGCCCCCAGGGCCCTTCTCTGCTTGGTTGTCATGCTTTAGCTTGTGTCATCTTCCTTTCTCTGCCTGGATTCATCTCAAGTCCCACCTTCTCCAGGAAACCTTCTTAGATCCCTCTAGCACATATTGATTTCTCTTTTTGTAGAACTCTTCAGTACTTACTGTTTGCATAATCTGTAGTAAGCATAGATTTATATGTGTGTATATCAAGTTGTATGCATGTGTATGTGTTACCATATTTCATGCTTTCATCTTGCTAGCTGTGCCCCTAGCTCCATTCTGTCCCCAGAAGACTGCCCCCTCTTATCTCTTCTACTTGTAGTTTATACCAACAATTGTCAATGAAACCCCTTCTCTCTTCCCACCCCTACCCCCTAGAGATACCAAAACCTTCATTTATTGAGGTCAAAGGTGGGTCAAGAGGAGGATGTGAGATTCTTGGCCTTGTGGCTGAGGCAGCTCTGGGGTTAGTAGAGTTGAGAGGCAACCAATCCCAGATCAACACAGCCACCACAGCGATGTTAGAATTAGTAATAACCTATTTCACTACTAGATGGACTGAAGCCAAGGGAAGACCCTTAGATCCTCTTCCCTTTGTTTCTCTACAGCGTGCAGGGGTGGGCTCTAGACGCACTTACCTAGTGCTGGCTTTAGAGCTAACTGGTCCAGTGACTGACTAAGTGAATAGCATACTGCTCAAATGACCCAGGGATGGACCAACCCGTTGATTGTCCAAATGTCTGACTGACTGA